GGCCTCGCGACATCCTGACCCTAATGATGAGCCCCGAGGACTGGAGGAGCTGGTCTTTAAATAATATAGACAAGAGGGCACACCTGGGGAGCTTAACCACAAGGACAATAATGGGAGCTGTGGAGCGCCCTCTAGGGAGGGATGTCGGGCGTGACACGGACAGGCTCACAGTCCAACCCTGACCTTTTCAAATCAGATCAACCCCTGGGCATCAGGGCCAGCCAGCTTTTTCATGCTGCAGCTTTTCCCCTCAAGTTTTAGCAGCAATGAGCGCCGGCCCGCGTTCTTACAGAAACACAGAGGCACCGGCAGTCTCCTTTCAGTGAAGCCTCCTCGCTTCCTGACCCGCGGGGCCGAGAACAGTCGGATCGCGGTGCCGACGTGCAGCAGACGCCCCGCCCGTGGGAGCTGTTACGTGCCGGTTATTGACACGGGATTCCGCCCTGAAATGACAGTGTTACAGAGGGACGCGCAAAGCTGAGGCCAGGCCGCCCCCTAGCGGCGCCCGGGCGCGTCGCAACGTCTCGGCGGGCGCCTTCGTTTCCATAGCAACAGCAGCAGCAGCAGCAGCACCGGCGGCCGTTCGGGAACACCTGCACGCACGGGCTTCGCGTGAGCGCACTGCTCTTAGCGAGGTGTGTGTGTGTGTGTGTGGCGAGGGGGGGGGTCTCACCAAGACCTCTCTGCTTCGGAGACGGGACCGGCTGAGCTCGTCTTATTCAGTGCTCATGTGACGAAGTGTTCACCACAAATCACATGTAACCCGCCATTCACGGAGACCGGGGTCCGGGCTTAATTCCGACCTGCCGGTGCCCGCCGCACTGCACACAACCCACGATCAGGCGGCGTCTCGGCTGCACAGATCGGGGTTCGCGATAGCGCGCTGCTCAGTCGTGCCACACGGTCTGACGAACACCGTTCACGCAGAAGACCTTCCTACCAGACTAACTCACCGCTTCCAAACAGCCCGCCTTCGTGTAGCAGCGTGCGTAGGTAAAGGTTTATTCCCTGCTGAAAAGAGACGAAAGAAAACACAACGTTTCGGCCGTGGAGCCTTCTTCGGGTCTGAAGGCTCCACAGCCGAAACATTTCGTTTTCTTTCTTCTCCTTTCAGCAGGGAATAAACCTTTACTCGTTCCTTTGCTTCCGGTAACAGATTCCGGTAACGGCCCCCCCGCGTCAGACGAGTGAACGTCTAAACCGGCCGCTGTGTGAGAGAGCCCGGCGCCGAACTAGCAGAAGTTAAAAAGACCCCGACGAACCCCAGAGAAAGCAGTCATTGCATTC